ATGTGGAAAACAATTATTCTTACAATCTGAGACAACTTTGAGAAGTCCAACTATATATTTCGCTCCCAAATTTTATCATTCCTCTTCCTAGCTTACTACTTCCATGTCCTTCACCAACTATGAGTCATAAGATGCTGTACACCTAGAAATCTCACCTTCGGTGCAAAGCAGACAAGAAATACTGCTTAGATTTATTCTCACCATAAAGAGTTCCTTTCCTTGCTGCCCTCCATACCATCATTGAGTTGTAGTACCACTGTCTACTTCTAGCTAGTACCAGCACACTCTGCAGTACTGTATAACCAGGCTCAGTTTCTTCCTCCTCAGTGAACTGGGAAATATAGTATTCTCTCCTATTATAAATATAGCTCATGGGTTTGCTTACTTGCTCATTTGTTTTCTCCTTTCAGACACCCTGCCTCATTAAATTCAACTTGATGGATGTAAATGGATATTTAAACAAGATTCTACACTAGAGCAAAATTGAAACAGAAGAGGAAGTGGTGACATGTTGTTTCTCAGGGTTATATTTTAGGAGATTTGGAGAAGAAAATGTTAGTAAAAATTATAGCATGGGGAGCAAGATAGAAGTAGAAGCATCTCAGCTAAATAAAGAGAGTAAAAGTTTTAAGATAAAGGTACTGCAAACCTTCATTAGGCAGTAGTGGACCTGGGATACAAAAATTAAATATATTTGTAGCTTCTATAAAAGGAAGCAAATGAAACAAGAAGTGAGGATTTATTGTGTTGAAGTTAGGTCTTTCCTACTTTATTTTCTGAAGAGTATAGATATCACTCACGTACACCATAGATACACAGAAAAGAATATGATAGAAGGAAAAAAAAATTTCAAATGCTAGCCCAGAAAATCTTCATGCTATTCATTACTTTGAGTAAAACAAAACAAAACAAACCATGATGTATCATAATTTGCTTCTCAAAAAACTTTTATGCAGATACACTTTAAAGAAGCAAAGTAGTCAGGTTTTACACCTTTCACCTTTATCTCTGTGTGGATGTACATTGGAGTCAAAGGAGTTTCCCTGACTTCTCTTGAATGGAAGAGGAACGTCACAGATCTCCTATTTGCCACCCATTTCCTGGATTGGATTCACATTCTTTTTAGTAAAATAAATCTTTATTTACTACTATGTAATAGGTATTATACTAAACTAACACACAGGGCAATCATCTAGTGTGGAAGAGAGTATGGAAAGATAATCACAATATATTGCGATGTGGATTATGTTAGAGCACTTATCAAGTAGGAACCAAGTGTGATATAGGCGTCAAGAAGCTTCAGAAGAAATCTTTGAAATTTTCAGTAGAACCATAAGAAGTCACTAAGAGATATTATCAATATGCTCTATTTATAATATTGACTTATGATCTTTGAATAGGAAGAGAAACAGACCTGAAACCATCAGTGTCAATATGACTTAGGTAAGACTTTAGCTCACCTGTGTCAATATGATTTAGTTGTTTATTCCAGGAAATCTCTGCCTAGGAAAGATAGGATTGTAAACAAAGCAAACAAAAAACCAAACAGAAACAGTCTCTAGTTTTTTGTTTGCATAAAGAAATTCTGATAGGATGGAGACAATAATTTGCTTACCTGGGCATACAGCTCATTTATCAAACAACAGTTTGTCAAGACTCTTCAAGGCCCTTGCTTGCTGTGTCCATGAATCCTAAACCATTTCATTAACTTAGTCAAATCTGATCAGTTTCCTCTCTCGACAGATACGCCTTAAACCATTTGAGCATAGATCCCAAACTTCTAGTATCTAATTTTCTGGATCTGAGACACAGCTAAGCACATCAAGGGAGTGCACTCTCCTACTGCAGTAAGTTTTCATACTTAGTTTTGCTTTATTAACAAGATCTCTTCAAGAAGTTTGTCCTTTCTGAAACAACCTAAGTGTCCATTGATGGATGAATGGATAAAGAAAATGTATACAGTTGACTCTTGAACAATGCGGGGGTTAAGGGTAGTGACCCCCCATGCAGTTGAAAATCCATGTATCACTTTTGAATTCCCCCAAATTTAGCCTATTGTGGGCTACAAGTCTTACCAATAACATAAACAGTCAATTAACACATAGTTTGTATGTTATATGTATTATGTGCTGTATTCTTACAACAAAATACGCTACAGAAAAGAAAATATTAAGGAAATCATAAGGAAGAAAAATACATTTACAGCACTATATTTATGGACAAAAGTCTGCATATAGTAGACCCATTCAGTTCAAACCTGTGTTGTTCAAGGGTCAACTGTGGTCAACAATGGACTATTATCCAGCCATAAAAAGAAGGGAATCTTGCCATTTGCAGTAACATGGATGGACCATGAGGATATTATGCTAGGTGAAGTTAAGTCAGATGATGCGGATGAGAGAGGGTGGGCAAAGTGGGTAAAGGGGGTCAAAAGTTACAAACTTCCAGTTATAAAAGAAATAAGCCCTGGGGATGTAATGCACAGCATGATGACTATACTTAATAATACTCTACTCCATATTTGGAAGTTGCTTACAGAGTAAATCTTAAGAGTTCTTATCACAAGAGAAGAAAAATATTATAACTATGTATGGTGATGGATGTTAACTAGACTTGTGATGACCATCTCTCAATATATACAAGTATTTAATCATTATGTTACAGATGAAACTACTATAACATTATATGTCAATTATACCTCAATTAATTATTTTTTAAAAAGAAGTCTGTCTTTTCTAACTACAAACTACTACCAGACACACAAAAATAATCAACTCATTGCTATCAGCTACTAGGCCAAATATTAAGTTCATATGAGAATTAACTGAGGAACTTGTAAGAAATATAGGTTTCCATGTTTCATGCTTCACAGTGATTCTGATTTAGGGGGATTAGCACAAGGTCCAGGAATCTCTATTTTAAAAAGCACCAGTTTTTTCCTAGTGCAGGCTATATTTAGATCATGCTTAGAAAAATAATGCTTTCCTCCCTGCAAAGCAGCAAACATATGTTTGTGTACATGTATATATTATATATTATATATTATACATATACACACATGTATTATATACATATTATATATACGTATATACGTTATATATATATACTATATACGCATATAGAAATATATCATACAAAAATAATACCCATATTAAATGTTCCGCACACTTCTTACGGAAATGGGATCATACACATACATATATATATATATGTGTGTGTGTGTATATATATATATATATATATATATATATATATATATATATGACATGATTTTTTCAGGGAACATTATATTATATAATCTTTCTGAATCATCACATACAGATCTGCATTATTTTTAATAGCTACATGATATTTCACTATATGCATTACCATAATTTATCCAGGCCTCATTAATGGTCATTTAGCTTGCTTTTTTTTTTTTTTTTTTTTTTTTGCTATTATAAGCAATGCTGCAATGAATACCTTCACACATTTATGCTAAAATATCTGTAGAATATAAAGAATGGAATAGACATAGAAGAGTAGGATTGCTAGGTCAGAGGGTATGTGCACTTTAAAATTTGATAGATCTTGCTGAATTGCTCACCAACTTAGTTACATTAATTGTCCTGCCAATTATCTTGGAGACTAATGTTTTCCCACGCATATATGATACTAGTATCAACCTTTTTCATCTTTATCTATCTGGCAGGTAAAAAAACAAATAAAATCTTAATTTGTTTTTTTATCATGTCTTTAATAGAATAACCAGCACTCAGTATACCACTGAAACACAATTATCTAAAGTTCTACAAAACATCATAATTTACTTTTGGAAAACTTTTATTTTTACACTGAAACTTAACTCTATCACCTATAAACAGATGGGATGGATGAATTTCAAATATATGTCCACTATGTAGTATCTACTTAGTACCTCCTTTTACCAAGTAATATAAAAGGAAAGTGAGAGTCATAAGACGTGTGTTCAAGCCCTGGCTTTGCCACCCAGCAGCTAGGTGACTTTGGGCAAGTTGCCTGCCCCCAGAGCTTCAGTTTCCTCTTTTGTAAAATGGGGATTCTACTCATTTGATAGAATTGAAAATTAAATGAGATTATAATTTTCACTACATATTTTAGCTATGTATAACCACCACCACCACAGTAACAATGCACGGAAAATTAGCAAATGAATAGAATTGTTTGTAAAAGCCTTTCTTAATAATTACAAAATAATTATGTTGGTATTACCATAGATTCTATGAGGTGAGTCAACCATTTATTGGGATTACTAAAGTCACTACAAGAGTGTATGTTTCATAGGGCTAACATACTGCTCACAAAATCACTGTTGTGGTTCTCTATGAATACTCTTCTAATAGTAGTTCAGAAAATATTTCCCAAATTACTTAGCTCCTTAGATAAAATGGAATTATCCAAATATACAATCAACTACACACCAGGAATTTCTCTTCAAGTTTCTAAGAGGATCTTGTTTCTAAGCACACACAGTAAAGCAATTCAAGTTATGTCACAGAGATTTCCTAGAGTAATATATTAATATTTTGGAGATGCTATCCTTCATTCTTTCCCAAGACTAGTATCAACCGAACACACTCATTCCTTAAATGTCTCAATACCCACTGTGCAAAAAGTCCAATGCTAAGAACTAGGGGTATAAAATCTCTGCGCTGAAAAGATAAAGACTCATATTAAAGATAAAAGGGCATAGCATTGTTATCTAAATTTGCCTGTGCTTCTACTATGATAAATAATGCGTCAATGGCTCATGACCCATGGAGCTCCTTTTCTTTTGAATGGACACCAATGGACCTATTACACTTCCTATCCCTGGGCCAGGTAAAACAAAGCCAGAAATGAGATGTCATTGCCCTATGGCTTACTCCCAAAAGTTCTCAATGGCTCAACTCACCTAAGTCTTCTGCCTTTACTTTCTTCCTCCACATCATGACTTTTGCAAAAATTTATGATGATTTTTTTAATGAGTAAAATGATCTGGACATTTTTTCAGTTTTTATTTCAATAAAACAAGAGGCAACACTGTTGTATAAAGTATTGCATATGGACATTTACACAAATACACAAAACTTCAAAAAACTAAACTCCAGTTTATTTCCATGGCCTTAAAAAGGTAGAGAGCACATAAAAATATGCAAAGTCATAGTTTATTCTTAGGAATGTAAACTCTAGGAATACAATTAGAAACAAGTATATTTACTATGAAAAGATGAGTATCACTACATGATTAGAAGATAAGAGGTACACAAAAAAACTCCACATAAGAGGAAGCAAAGGTATGCAAAATAAGATCTCGAGTTTACTAAGAGAAACTTCACGTCAAGACACAGGTACTCTAGAAATCTACTATAAAAAAACACAAAAACATCTTCCAAAATGTTCACTGCTAGTCTCTTTAGATACGCACAAATTACAAAGTACAGAAGACTATGTATTTTTCTGATAAAGAATTTAACAAATTAAACAAACGTGAATAACTCAAAGTGTTAAGTATAATTTTACTAAGCAACTAATCTAAAAGTATAAATTCATGCTAATTAAAGAAACAGAGAGTTTTTATTTTTCACCCAAAGATTGGGAATACACTATTTATTATACATTAATTTCTATCTACAATGCTAATTTATGTACCCATCAAATTATTCTTCTTTTTAATGGCTTTTTTAAAAATATTTTTTTCAGTCACATTATTTACCATAAAGATTCCTTGATGTGCTTCCCTTTAATAAAGTGTAAATTTATTGTGCCTATAAACTCAAATGTTAAACAGCCTTATTTTAAATATTTGTTTAAAACTATGTTTCAGAGTACTTTTTTTTCTCTATAATTTAAATGTAAAGGTTTTAACATTTTAATTTTATTCTTCCAAAATCGGCAAAACCCCTTAGAACTCAGATCATTTTTATCTATTTTGTTTAAAAAATATATTTCCCTCTAATTCAACTTTTTGTTTTTATGTGAATAATGTTTGCTAAGCAGTTGCTTCATAATTGAAAAGGGCAATGAAATATTGCTTATTCAAAGCAAATTGTGTCATCATTTAAGGACTGAGGATTTATAACCTTCAAGTCTACAGACCTGCCTTAAAAAGTTCCATGGTGGTGTACAAGGGAATCCGGGGTGCTCACTTGTCCTGGGTCCTCTTGAAAAGTCTACTTTGTTTCTCTCCCCCACTTCAATCCAAAGGCAAATGCTGGGACCCAGCTTCATTAGAATACCTCAGGTAGTTGGGTATTTGAAGAGTGAGAGGTTGGGTAATTTCAAGAACCTCTAATGGCCTAAAATGTGGAATAGAACTACAATTTCTGTTCAGATCCTTTGAAGTACGGGGTACAAGGACCCATTTTGCGTAGAATCCTTCTTGTGGTAAAGGGTATTATTCTGGATATATAGGAGATCTGTGACCAAATGGCTACATCAGGATCTTCATGAGAAAACAACCTACAAACGTGACTCCAACTCAATCTGGAGAGATGAGTGGGAAGAGAGCAATAGGGATCATTGTAATTGCTACCGAAGTTAGCATTATCCAATATTTATAATTGCTATAAAAATTTTCAAATGTATAATCCTTATTTGAAACAGTATCAAAGGTCCTATAAATAATTTTACTGTTAACATAACTTCACACCCCAGAAAATCAACTGGTGCAAATTATTTGAACCATAAATTCAGATCCACTCCACTGAGTAAGCCTTCAGAGTTTTTAGAAGAATATACACATGCAGATTTGTTGTGCATTGTATAAAAGGATGGTACCCCTTTCACACCTAAAATTGTAGGCATCCACAGCTCTGATTCCATTTATAGTTAACAAGAAAAATACAAAATGTTATATTTTTATTGTAAAAATGAAAAATCATTAAAAATGTAGAATTAGAGGATCTAATAAGTGTTACAGACACTATTAAAAATTCATTAGCTGTTGGGGCACCTGGGTGGCTCAGTCGTTAAGCGTCTGCCTTCGGCTCAGGTCACGATCCCAAGGTCCTGGGATCGAGCCCCGCATCGGGCTCCCTGCTCAGCAGGAAGCCTGCTTCTCCCTCTCCCACTCCCCCTGCTTGTGTTCCCTCTCTCGCTGTGTCTCTCTCTGTCAAATAAATAAATAAAATCTTTAAAAAAAAAAAATTCATTAGCTGTTAAAAACAATGAAGATTATAATATTTATTATCTAACATATTTGATCTAGGGTTGTGAGACCACTGAGAATTCTAAATACTAGGTAAGTAATTTGTTTGTACTTTAATACTCTCTTCTCAAACTTTAATGTGCATAAAAATCACTTGAGGATCTTGTTAAAATGCAGGTTATGATTCAGTAGATCAAAGGTGGCTCTGAAGTTCTACATTTTTAACAAGATGCCTACTGATGCCAATGCTATATACTGGTCCTCAGACTATAGGAGTAGCAATGATCTAGAATAATACCAAAATGAAGATCCATTATAGCAGCTGATGATTAAAATCTGATCTCTCATTTGTGTCAACTGTTTCCTCAAACTTTTTCTACAAGTTTCCTAAGCACCTTAACTTGCTTAAAATGCCAATCTTCTAAAGTAGTTCTTAAGACTATTAATACTGTTAGTAGCTACATGCCTAGGGGAAATTCTTCGTTAAAGAACTACAAAAAGACAATAGGAAATTCACAGTGACATTTTAAAATATTTTAAATGTACACAGGATTCCTGTTAAATTAATACAATATCAACTTTCACTGTCTGGTTGTCTTTTTTTTTTTCTACTACAATTTATGCCAATAGATCTTATTCCATTTCTATTACTGGAACTAAAAAACTCAAATTCACTTATATTAAAAACCATATTCTAGTCAGAGTTAATGAATGAAAACTAGTTCATGTTTTTTGAAGAATTAGATTTAAAATGGTAGCCAAAGCAGTTACAGTAAAAATTGCATTTATAGTGTATGCTTTAGCACTCCTCAGGACATACGAATTTCTCACATTTGAGCTCTGCATAAGCAGGCACAAAAGGAAAACTAGCATGTTCTGTGTGACCACAGCGAGGGACGGCAAATAAGGAAGCCACTGTGTAATAACAGTGCAAGAGACAAAGAGGGGACTGCTCCCTAGGCCTTCCTTCCCAGTCAACTTACTCTCATCCTCAGCCTTGCTTTCTCTCCCTCCCTCTGCATTATTAGTTAAGTATACTTGATTTACAGGGAACCTCAATAGCCAAAACAACTACCACTAGCAAACGCCAAACTTTTACGTCTATCTAGAGGTCACGTAGTTCTCCGTAGCTACAAACAAGTTTGTTTAGCTTCTGCCATATTGCCTTTTTCATTTTTATTTTTTGGTTGGGGGCAACTACATTGATTATTCTATCATTACAAGAATATTTAAATTAGGCCTGTTCACAAAAAGAATTGAATTTTTTTCACATTTTATAATTCTAAATTTAAGAACACAAACATAAATAACCTAAATTAGTTAATGTATAAATGTCCTTTGTCCATATTTCTCTATATTTTCTTTCATGACATTTTATAGATGAAAAATTTACCTAATATCCTTCATTTGCCGACAAACAATTCAGTATTATATGGTTGACACTGGTATCTTGAGAGCTGTGTTGCACAATTTACAATGATTTCCAGGAAGTCTTCAATGATGTGTGCTTTGAATTATAAGAAACCAAACTACCTAGGGTTTCCAAAGTCAAGCAGCAGGGTAAATGAGCTTCATAGCCTATTACATTTTAGGAACTGAAGGGGATTTTCACTTGCTAAATCCAGATCAAATACTTCAAAACAACACATCTACTAGCAATCTGATTTTTGATATAAAAATGTTCCAAAGATAACAACAGAAATTCCTCTACCCAGTCCCTGGAATTATAGAATAGTCTAGGTACTGAGTTAGAAGGCATTTTCCAGTGCTTTATATCAACAATTTCACTAATCTCAAGGATAATCTAATCTGATTACAAACATTTTTATCAGACACTTTTCATACACATCATTTTTGTTTTCTCACGTGCCTGTTTTTCAGACTGCCATGCTGCACGTCAGCTGGAGACTTCCCGGAGCTGCACCTCTGCCTCCTTCTTTCAGAAACAGTTCCCATACATGGAGATTCCCTTTGACTCTGAAGGCCAAACATACAACTACCAAAGTAGGAGTTATTAAAAAATAAGAACTCACAACCTCTCATGAGATGTAACCAATCTGATCAGACAACCTGCCAAAATGTATTGTTACACTGACAATCTTAGGGCAACAGAAACAAATAAGAAAGAAAAAAAGACTAAAATCAAGGGGGAAAATACACCCAAGAAATAACAAAACCATATTTCAACTTACTGCAACCTACATATTATTCCCTTCATAAAGTCAAGGTAGCCTTCAGAATTTGAGACATCAGGGCTCCTGTCTGGAATAGGGATGACAGACCCTGGGCACTGTCATAAAGAAGCAAAGTTGTCTCTCTAGATTTGCTGGTTAGGTGAGAAAACTATTACAAATTAATCTGTGGACAGAGTAATGCTAATACTAGGAGGTCTCTGCTGACCTGATTGATGCTTCACTGGAAGTTCAGTCCTTTCAGAAACGTAAATAAGCTTTTCTTCTTGGAGACTACAAGCAGAAAACCTATTGGCATCTGTCCCAGGCCCACAGCCAACAGCAGATGATGGGTTATGTGGGACTGTGACACCACTGACTTGTTCAAAGGATTTACTGAACACAGTTGCGGCAGTCTTAGCCAAACCATGGCTACAAGGTTTAGGCAGAGATTGGCTGGTAGTTAACGTCAGTCTCTTCAAAGAGAGAAGCTCAAGATTCTCACTCTGGGCTCTTTGAGTTTGTTTTCGGGCAAAGTGATCTTTGCAAGACTCCCCTGTAGTTTCTTTTTCTTTTCCTCCAGTTTTGCTTCCTGCTGACCGTCTCTGAGTCTTTCCTACACTTGTCTTGTTACTAGAATTGTTACTACTGTTTGATAAACCCGACTGGCTGGTACTAGACGCAGCCCTGGAATAAAATCCCTCGTCAACTTCAGATATCTCCATCAGTTCTTCTTGACCTGTTAATTCCGCATTTCCTAAACAAAGAAATAATAAAGATTAATTAATATGAAGTATTTTAAATAATTCTTGTTTCATGGTTAATAGCAAATCAGTGATACTTTAAACTTTAGCATAATTACATAAAGCAACTGATTATAGACCAAAATTAAAGGATAAATCAAAACATTCCATAAAATAGAAAAATAGTTCCTTGTAACTAAATAAGAGTAATTTAGAGTGTATTCAACAAAAAGCATGCCATAAACCAGCCCCCCCCGACCCGTGTTTTTAGAAAGAATTCTCTTACTATTCATGCAAAAGATCAGAAATAATTAGGAAAAATACCACACAGAAAAACTATGGGTAAACTCTCCCCCAGTAGCAAAGCAGTATAAAATCAAAGCTCTTACCAAGTAACTATAAAAAAAAAATGATATTAAGATATTTTAAAGATTTTTTTTAAAGGTTGCATTCTACGTTCCAGATTATTTTACTTAGATTAAAAAAAAAAAAAAGACCCTAACACGAGCTCAAACTTGTTAAAATTCTATATACATTATCCTTTACATCAAAGATGGCAAAAATGCAAAGATAAAAAAATAATTTCAGATCTCAAAACATTAGCAGAAAATTATTTTGGAAGTAATTTTCTGCCTTAGTTTTCATAACAATTTACTCAGAGAAAATACAGGTATGACCATTCCAAAGAGCATTAGATCATTGAGAAATTGTGGTGCATAATTCATGCATTTTGATTATTAGATGACATGCAAAATTTTTGTGACTGTGCAACTGTTGCTTAAGACATGCAGCAGTGGCCCTTTGCCATGAGATACCTTGGAGGGCAGCTAGAAAGTGCTCTGCTAAAACTGCACTCTGCCAGGTGAGTTTATTCCATCCTCCATCATTTTTCTTACAGATTTTTGCCTCCTGATCTCTGGCAAGCCTTTGCTCTCAGTTCTAGGATCTGTGGCTGTTTCCTGCACACCCTGTATATGCTGAGCATCAATCTCTCCTAGTGTTCTGCCTTTTTCCCCATTCCCGGTTCTCTCTCCGGCCACATTTGTGACACTAATCTCAGGAATGACAAGGATGCCCAATTCAGTAGTATCATTACTGTTGTCAGGTTGCTCTAGAATTGAAGATGATAAGACAAAATGATGGCTGAAAACAAAACAAAACAAAAATGCAAAACAAGAGAAACCAAAGATCCAAAACAAAAACTGGATGACTGAATGTTATGAATTAAGCCAGATATCTGCACTGTAGTAATTTCCATAATTTACATCACTCTGACAGCACTGGAGACAGTAGGGTGGTGTTCTTTAATTTTAAATGACAATGAAAAAACTCACAGAGCATCAATTCATGTTCTGCATTTTTTCACACACATATTTGACATGGACCATGAAACAGAAATTTTTTACCAATCAAAATAGAATTTCTATTGTTTTTTCAGATAACACTGTGACCATTTGAACTTAGGTCAAGCCTTGGGCAAATGTTCCAGGATGTACAGCCAAAACTCTAGCTTTTGTCAACATCAGGAACCAAGACACTTAAGAATTCCCCTTGCACACTTAAAATTCTATTTTTTTATTAGATTACACTGAGGCTGACTTAAGGAAGTATGATAATGGGAAAATGATTATTCACTCATAGTATCACAGTTCGTGCTGCTGCAAGTACAGTTTTTGTCTCACACACCGATCATTGTGTGTATTAGCAAATATTAATGCAGCTGTGACACAATGAAATAGTCTATCCCTTCAGATTCATACTCATACCATAAATTTAGGCCAGCTTATACCAACAGTTCATTACTAAACTGGAGAAAAGTAATAATGGACTTGGAAAAACAACTTGGCTGTTGGTCCTTTATTCTGAAAGCAGCTATTATAATCAAAACAAAGGAATGAAACTCCTAACTAGTTAATACTTATAGCTATTTTGTTCTGTATCTTAAATCACAAAGCATGGTTTTATTTAAAATTGACAAGGAAATATCTGTAATAATGGGAAAAATAACATGAATATATCTACCATGGGTCAATAATGAAAATTAAGGTTCAAAACAACATAAGACTATGTAAAACAGTATATATCTTAAAAAATGTAGAACACAAATCTGCTTGAGAGACATTACCTACTATTTTCAAATGTTTCTCATGATAGGATTATAAAGCTCTCACTCATGGTGCTAAGCATGTGAATAGGTAGTAAAAGAAAGAGGCCAGAGCCACATCCTCCTAAGGGCTTCCCAAGCTTTGCTACACATTGGTATCACCTGGGAATCTTTAAGAACTACTGATACCTGGCTCTCACCCTAGACATTCTGATTTAATTGGTATGAGGTATGACCTAGACATCGGGACTTTTAAAAGATCCCAGTGACTAATGTGCTGCAAAGTTTGGGAGCCACTGCTCTACTCGAATTCTTTCAAATTTTGAAAACTTTAATTAAAGCAAAAATTATGAATGCCCTGGGTCCTCCATACCCAGCAGCAATATGCACTTCAGGAGGCCCCCAAAGCTTCACGTTGCCCTGGGCTGGTGGGTCAATGTGCTAGTATAATAATTTCCCATTTACTTAGTGTTTCATAAACCTTTGGCTGAAGGTTCTTTAAATGAAACGTTTACTTCCTAAATAGGCCAAAGGATGTTGGTGAGGTAGTATCACCTCTAACAGAGGTTTAATGAGATTAAAAAGTTCCAAAAAGCCTATTTCCCCTTGCTAACAGCTATCTTCAAAGTGAGGGCAAGTAAATATCTAACTGAGATGAATGCCAGAGGCCACTGGAACTGAGAGTAAAATCACCATGGCATTGTTGGGTGACAAGCAAGACTTGTCCGTTTACCTCACAGAAGCAGTTTCACAAAAGATCTACTAAAGGGACCATCTAGTCCAAAAAAAATTATAAGCCGTGGAAATTATCCAGACATAACAAAGCCAATGAACATAAAAGATAAGCATAGGTGGCCTAATAGAATAGAAAACAACACTACTTACACTGAATGGTACTAAACAGTTTTTTTAAAGCATTCGTATATATTCTTCAATTATATTCTCTGAAGTAGGCAATTTGACTCCCATTTACAGACAAGGAAACTGAAGTTCAGAAAGAGCTAACAACTATTCAGTGGATGGGCTAAACAGCAAAATCTTTTTACTTCAAATGTCCATTCTAACATATTACAGAGTCTAACTCTTCAATTCATAAAGTCCTTTGAGTTAAATATACTCTGACATCCTTCAATTAGGTTTAACTTGTTTGTTTAGATTCCTGGTCTTTTCATAGAAAGCAAATAATTTATTTTGGCTGAATAGAGAGAAAGAGCAGATAAAAGTCTCCAAGAAAACCTAAACAGGTCAATAACTCTCGAGGTTAGTTTTTTTACTTTTTTAAATTGGGTTTAGTTTTAAAAAGACACTAGTGAAAATTATTAATTTAAAATGGTGCTGCAATGATGAAAATTTTGCAAGAAAAACTAGAAAATGACAAGAGGAATAATATATAAAGCAGCACTAGACAATGGGATTTGCCAGTCACATGTACTGGGATACTAGTCAAGATCTGCAGCCCCCAAAACAATGATATTAAATTTTTTTAAATTATAAAAATAAATGGCAAGCAGAAAAATGAGATTATGTGTTTTTCCACAAGCACATTTTTTTTTTTAAGATTTTTTTTTTTTATTTATTTGACAGAGAGAGAGACAGTGAGAGAGGGAACACAAGCAGGGGGAGTGGGAGAGGGAGAAGCAGGCTTCCTGCTGAGCAGGGAGCCCGATGTGGGGCTCGATCCCAGGACCCTGGGATCATGACCTGAGCTGAAGGCAGATGCTTAACGACTGAGCCACCCAGGCACCCCACCACAAGCACAAATTTTTGACTAATTTATGTATGTTATCACTCTCAAAAATGGTAAAAATGGCAAATTTTTAAGCTATTAAGGTAAATTTATAAAAAGAAAAGCATGTGATTCTGTATAGAGCTAGAAAGAACAAATATAATTCTCAGGAAAATTACAGAATAAAGATAACTATATAACTCAAACATTTGTTACATGATCTTGGTCTCCTATTATTTCTCCAACTTCTTCCCCTATATGTGACCCAATCTTCCTACACACACCTTCTTACCAGTCTTACTATTCCCTAGGCCTGGAATACTCTCCCCCACATAGCTACCTACATGGCTCACCTCCTTACTTCTTTCAGGTTTTTTTCCTCAAAAATTTCCTTCTCAGTGAAACCCTCTCTGATCATCCCATCAAGTTTCAATATCCTCCATATTTCATAAACTCTCTTCCCTACCTTATTTCTTCTTGGCTCTTAATCACTCTCTAAACTACAATTATTTCTCTATCTTGTCCACTAGACGTAAGTTCCACAAGGGCAGGGATTTTCTGGTCATTCTTGCATACCTAATACCTGAAAAAGTAGTTTGCATATAGTAGGTGCCCAATAAAAATTTGTCTGATAAATTAAATGAATTTCCCGTTACATGGTAAAGTTATTAAAATAAGTGAAGATGAGAAAACATGGAGAAGACATGAGAAAGGTAATCTGGGTATGTGTTACTTGACTAGGTAAAAAGGAAAAAAATAATATACAGCTTATGCTAATAATAATTTTTAGATGGCAGAGAAAATAAAGTCTCTTTGTTTTAGAAAAGCAAAGTAGCCACCTCTAAATGCAGGTTTGGTAAAATGCTTAATAATGCCCTATATATATATAAATCTACAGTTCTTTTATTATGCTATCCTCTGGATAACATAGCTAAGGAGAAAAAGTTAATCTTTCTTTAAGAAAATTATAGAGGAGATGTTGTAAGAGAATATAAATGTATAAGAAAATAGAATCTGTTCAAAAGCCTCGAACTTAAATCTATGCAAAAGGTGTCATGATTGTTCTATACCTATAAAAAACAATACTTACATTTGACTTCAAATAGTTCGAAAAGTTCAAAAAAGATCCAAAGAGAAACGTCTCAGAGAATATTTTATTTGTGTGACCTCTATAAACAGGTAAC